CGAGCCACATGAGCCGGCTCGGGCTTAGCCCGGCATCCCAAAATGAGACTTGATAGAATCGAGCCTCGAATCGGGTGAGCTCAGGCTTTTTCAGGCCAAGTCATGGGCGGCCAGAATTGACGAGCCCGATTGCCGTCCCTAGATAAGATTGACATCGATTTTAGTCCAAGGAGAACACCAAATCATTAAGTTACTGAAAATCCCCCAAGAATACATACACAAGTTATTTTTCAATTATCACTATATAAATTACATATGTTCATACAGATTCTTATTCCATGATCCAATTGGGATTACAGTAAAATGATAGATCTATTGTTAAATGCACGTAAATTTTAGTGATTTTGGACACAAAATGTACAATTTTCATGTAAAATTGAAATTTAGTCACTAACATGTAAATGAAATTCTATTTTATTTTTCTGTATACTGGATTGGGCAAAATTAAAGTAACAGAATTGCACAGAATTATGTCTCATTTGTGTAGGGTGTTATAAACATGCATATACGAAAGATACAAAAAGATTTTGAATAATGCTATGTAGCATTAATGGAGCTTAGCACCTGTCAAATGCGGAATGCCTTCCGCTTTCTCACCATGTAACTTGTCTCCATCACAAAAACGTAAGTCAAGGGAATTTTCGTGGATCAATCTCCAGAACTTCGCCAATGCTCGAGGTCCCTCCATACCTGATACAATTCACTTTTACTTCTGGATATGGCCATGGAGGCCAAGAAAAATCCATCATCTGTTCATGCAGAAACAGTTGAGGAAATCATGAAAATCTAAAAATAACTGCATCACTACCACCAAGACCCTCCATCGAATAGGTAGAGGCTGCCATATCTGCAATCAACACAGCAGAAGCACAAGAACGACTTCGGTTGGAGGAAATCTCTAAGGAAGCACAGCCACAAGATGTTCTCCCAGAGCTCATATCTATTCTGCAACAAGTAAAGAAGAACTTGGTTCTGTTTTTCTGCACACTAAAAGCTACGGTAGTAGATTGGTAGTACGAAGGGGAAAACAACATTTCAATAGATTCGTGCATCCCACATCGGTTGGAAACTTATTGAATATTGGACTAGTGGGCTATATAACTTGAAGATAGGACGACGGGATCCATACTTACCTGGACGGGGTCGATGAGTGATCATGAAGGCCCATGGCCTAGATTGGCGACCTCCATTGCACTTGGGAGGGGCGCCCGTCTAAGGTCGGCCCAAGTGGTCGAGCCTACGTCATAATTTGTGGTAGAGGGGGCCTGCGTTCGCGCGGCCCCTGCCCAATTCTAGTCTAAGTTATGAGCCTATTCTTGGGTTATGGGTCTGCTAGAATTCTACGCGGAAAGCTCAGCGGACCAAGCTAATGGAACAATTTCCGGGCTGTTAAATGTTCGTTCTTTTATGTGAACGGGGTCAAACTGGATTTGTGAGTACCGGTAGATTTTGACCACGAGGATTTTATGCTGCCACCATACCATTTGTTATCTGAAAATAATGACGACAAACAGGCTGCACCCTCTCTGTTGGACTTGGACCTTGTTTGCATAATCTCCAGAATCAATCAGAAGCTTCTCAAAGTGGAAAGAAAATCACATTAATTTAGGGTGATATACATGGAAATGTTACAGAGAATTATGTATCATAGTCATTCGTTTTTATTAGAGTAGTTCACGCAAATTTGAGATTTGGTCCCTAGCAACAATCTGTAAATGAATTAATTTTCCTGGCGTTGAATTCTTCTCACTTTAAATTATTTTCACGTTTGATTGTTCTTTACAATATTAGTAGCATCTAATTCCTAACACAATCTCTGTATCTATATGATTAAGGTAATGGACGTAAAGCAGACACGTATTTAGCAAAAACGGGTCACTTTTCAAGCCGTTTAGGAACAAGTTTAGTCTTGTGGAAATGTCTTGGCTACCATTCTTGAAGTCAATTGAAATTCTCTTTATTATTGGCATTCCTTGTTTCTCCATTTTCCGCTCAATTTTTACTTTGTATAGATACGTCTAAATATTAGCGCATATACCAACCATTATCAAAGGAAAGAGAAAAAAAGAAGCTGTGCAAATTCTACTTTTGACAGAAAAACTATTTAGCTTGTGTCTTACTAGTGAATTCCATTTTGAACCATAATAGATTTAACATCACATATAATTTTTCTCAGCATATTAAATAAATATACATCTTACAAACCACAACTCAAATGCAGTTTCATTTTAAAACCAATCATACAAATGCAATCAAGATTTCAAAAAAAAAAATCACTAATTACTCAAAATGCTTCTTGTAGATAGGGTATATAAAAGGAATTACTTAGTAAGATAGATTGTAAGGAAAAACATTTTATAATCTGTATAAAAGAAAAACATGTTTTGTTGAACTGTGGTCAGATAAGATTGACATCAGTTTAACAAGACATATAACATAAACATAGAGATGAAACATTATTAACATCTCAGCAGATTCTTAAACATCAAATAATCTAAGCTGAAGAGCCTGCTCAATGCGACCTTATTAAAGATAAGAATCGGGGCATCAAAGCCCTTGATTCAAAATATGGTGCGAGGGTGACAGAGCTTGAATTTCCAGTTACAATCCTCCGCCTTGACTTGGCCTTCCGTCTAACACTTGAAATTCATTGGGAATACAAGGTGAAATACAACATGTTAATAGATTCGTACATAATCGGTAGGAAACTTATTCAATATTGGAAGACAGGGCAACCTCCATTGCACCAGGGAGGGCGCCCGTCTAAGGTTGGCCCAAGTGGTTGAGCCTATGTTGTAATTTGTGGTAGAGCGCCTGCCCTATCTGAGTTTTAAATTTGATTCCCATTCTAATTGTGCATGCTTGTTAAGCGTTTTATGTAGTAAGCTCATTAGAATAAGTGAATATATTGTGGGCTGTTCTGGGAAATCTTATAAAATTTATTCCAAGGAGAACAACAAATCTTTAAATTACTGAAAATCCCCCAAGTATACATACAGTTATATATCGATCTCAATCGAAGCTTTGGCAATGTCAGGAGCATATTACCATAAATTTCCAAGATCTCACAGCGAGGATTTTGAGCTGCCACCACCCCATTATTCATCTGAAAATGATGATGAGGAGGAGGAGGAACAAGCATGGAGAATTATCAGCAGCAGCCTCTTTGTTGGACCTTATTCACTTAATCTCCAAAGTCAATCAGAAACATCTTAAAGTGGAAAAAAAGCCGCTAATTAAGAGAATCATAGTATCAATTTATGCCATTTTAGGAGCGTTGTTAATTTACACATAAATTTTTCAATTATATAGGAGCAGGAATGCAGCTTGCATTTACTTATTCTCATAATACATCAGAATGAATCAAAGTCAATCGTTGTATTAGAATAGTTCATAGTTCATAGTTCATACAGATTCTTATTTCGTCAGACAATTGGGATTACAATAAAATGATATATTTACTGTTGAATGCACGTAAATTTTAGTGATTTTGGACACAAAATGTACAATTTTCATGTAAAATTGAAATTTAGTCACTAACATGTAAATGAAATTCTATTTTATTTTTCTGTATACTGGATTGGGCAAAATTAAAGTAACAGAATTGCACAGAATTATGTCTCATTTGTGTAGGGTGTTATAAACATGCATATACGAAAGATACAAAAAGATTTTGAATAATGCTATGTAGCATTAATGGAGCTTAGCACCTGTCAAATGCGGAATGCCTTCCGCTTTCTCACCATGTAACTTGTCTCCATCACAAAAACGTAAGTCAAGGGAATTTTCGTGGATCAATCTCCAGAACTTCGCCAATGCTCGAGGTCCCTCCATACCTGATACAATTCACTTTTACTTCTGGATATGGCCATGGAGGCCAAGAAAAATCCATCATCTGTTCATGCAGAAACAGTTGAGGAAATCATGAAAATCTAAAAATAACTGCATCACTACCACCAAGACCCTCCATCGAATAGGTAGAGGCTGCCATATCTGCAATCAACACAGCAGAAGCACAAGAACGACTTCGGTTGGAGGAAATCTCTAAGGAAGCACAGCCACAAGATGTTCTCCCAGAGCTCATATCTATTCTGCAACAAGTAAAGAAGAACTTGGTTCTGTTTTTCTGCACACTAAAAGCTACGGTAGTAGATTGGTAGTACGAAGGGGAAAACAACATTTCAATAGATTCGTGCATCCCACATCGGTTGGAAACTTATTGAATATTGGACTAGTGGGCTATATAACTTGAAGATAGGACGACGGGATCCATACTTACCTGGACGGGGTCAATGGGCGATCAAGAAGACCCATGGCCTAGATTGGCGACCTCCATTGCACTTAGGAGGGGCGCCCGTCTAAGGTCGGCCCAAGTGGTCGAGCCTACGTCATAATTTGTGGTAGAGGGGGCCTGCGTTCGCGCGGCCCCTGCCCAATTCAAGTTTTAACCAATTCTATTTTTGCAGGCCCATACGAATACTTAACGGGCCTGTTCAGGTTAGGTCTAGGTGTCATGAGGCACAAGGCGAGTGGACTTCTGCTGATAATTATGGTCATAAGACTTCAATGTTTCCCAGATGATACTAGGGCAGCAGATTATCATAATGAATAGAGGTTTCAATTCTGAGGTGCTACAACGTGCGTGAAGGGCAGGTATGGTTTCAATAAACAGGATTAGAAAAACGCGTTGAATTGTTGTGATCGATCTTGAACTACTTGGATCGAAGGAGTCTCTCGCTTATATAAATGTTTAGGGCTCATTTAGAATTTTCTCAATTATGTGTTTTATATGTGTAGTGAGTGATAAACATGCATGTCCAAAAGATAAAATTTTTGAATAATGTTATATAGCACCTTTCAAATACCGAACTTGTCTCACACCATGTAACTTGTCTCCATGACAAAAACCAAGTTAAGGGAGTTTTCATGGATCAATCTCCACTTCGCAAATGCTCTAGGTCCCTCCATATCTGATACAGTACACCCCCACTTCCTGCTATGGCTATGGTGACCAAGAAAATCCATCACCTGCTTATGCAACAGTTGAACTTCAAATCACAGCCGCCGAGACCCTCTATTGAAGATGTAGAGGCTGCCATATCTGTAATCAACACAGCAGAAGCACAAGAACGCCTTCGGTTGGAGAAAATCTCTAAGTGCCCCCACAAGATGTTCTCCCAGAGCTCCTCTGTTCTGCAAAAGAACAAGGTTTTGTTTTTCTGGAAAGTAAAGAAGATTCAATTATCCCACATCGGTTGGAAACTACTTGAATGTTGGGTTAGTGAGCTACATAACAGGAAGGTATGACAACAAGCTCCATACTTACCTGGACGGGGTCAATGGGCGATCAAGAAGACCCATGGCCTAGATTGGCGACCTCCATTGCACTTAGGAGGGGCGCCCGTCTAAGGTCGGCCCAAGTGGTCGAGCCTACGTCATAATTTGTGGTAGAGGGGGCCTGCGTTCGCGCGGCCCCTGCCCAATTCAAGTTTTGAAGTTTTATCCCAATTCTATTTTTGCAGGCCCATAAGATTACTTAACGGGCCTGTTCAGGTTAGGTCTAGGTGTCATGAGGCACAAGGCGAGTGGACTTTTGCTGATAATTATGGTCATAAGACTTCAATGTTTCCCAGATGATACTAGGGCAGCAGATTATCGTAATGAATAGAGGTTTCAATTCTGAGGTGCTACAACGTGCGTGAAGGGCAGGTATGGTTTCAATGAACAGGATTAGAAAAACGCGTCGAATTGTTGTGATCGATCTTGAACTACTTGGATCGAAGGAGTCTCTCGCTTATATAAATGTTTAGGGCTCATTTTGAATTTTCTTTCTCTGAATTCTATATCCAGAGTACTTAAAATGGATTTAACATCACTTACAAAATTCATCAACATTTTAAATAAATATAACATCTTACAAATCACAGCTCAGATGCAATTTCAAATCATAGCCGCCAAGACCCTGTATCGAAGAGATTGAGAATGCCATATATGTGTAATCAACAACGCGGAAGCACAAGAATGCCTTCTGTTGGAGGATATCTCTCTTGAAGTGCCGCCGCAAAGCTCTTCTCTGTTCTGCGACAAGTAAAGAAGAACTTGGTTTTGTTTTCTGCACACTAAGATACGGCAGTAGACTAGTAGTACAAAGGGGAAAACATTTCAATAGATTCATTCATCCCACATCGATTGGAAACTCACTAAACATTGGATTAGGGGCTATATACCTGGAAGTCAGGACAACTTGATACATACTTACCTGGACGGGGTCGATGGGCGATCAAGAAGGCCCATGGCCTAGATTGGTGACCTCCATTGCACTTAGGAGGGGCACCCGTCTAAGGTCGGTCCAAGTGGTCGAGCCTACGTCATAATTTGTGGTAGTGGGGGCCTGCGTTCGCGCGGCCCCTGCCCAATTCAAGTTTTAAGTTTGATTATGCTCATTCTAATTTCATCGGCCCATTAGAATTCTGTATGGCGCAAATGTAAAGTCTCTTTGGGCTGCTACGAGTTTTACTAATCGTAGTAATATTAATCAACAAATGTAATGGCAGTAAGGCTAGATTTAATGGTTGCAAGCAACATCAGTAAGAAAGCAAAACTCATATTCCTTTTCAGTTTATACATGTAATTCTTGCAAATGAGTGTTGGCAACGTGAAAACAATCATTCGTGAAAACAATCATTCTTTGTGAAACATTGGATTGAGTGCCCAGCATTCATTTGCAATTGCAAGGTTCAATTTATTTCTGTTGATACTTGATATATATATATATATATATATATATATATATAGGAATTCACTATTTTTTCTTGCTCACATAGAAACTTTCAATCACTTTTCTCTTGTTTTTCTGGCTAGTTATCTGTGAGTGTTTAAATTACAAATACTTTTAATCAAACCTACTTTTTATTCACAAATTTTATAAGATTTACAAGTACTATTTACGGATCCACCACTCAATTCTACTTGTTTTACAATATAAATCAATAATAAACAGTTCCCAAACAAAATCACTTGCATTACTCTTTCATTCTACACATCATATTTCAGAGATTGTTTGATAAAGCTTTTTTTGAGTAGATTTTGATACAAAGCTAATTGAATGTGTTGAAAATTTAAAAAAATTGTAAATTTCATTAAACCCCCGTTTGGTAACAATTTCATTCTGAAAAATCAAAATTTTAACTGTTATTTCACTATTTTAGCCGTCATTTTTTATTTCCTCACTCACAAGTGGATCCACTATTTTTTTTCCTAACGGTCAAACAATCAATTCTCATAATCACTATCGAATATGCCCTAAACATGTAGTTGAAATTGATGAAATTTGATTAGTAGACACTAAATAAAGAATTGTACACATCTAAATCCATGAAAATCATTGCACGGAATCTTTCTTAGGCATGTTAAAGGCATATTATTTTCTAATAATGCATTTTAAAATAATAAATTGATGAAAAATGTGTAGTTAAAAAATAAAAAAATGTTTTGAATTTATATGTAATATTATTTTATTAAAGAATGTGTGATTGAAAAGAAAAGAGAGAAAAATATATTTTAAAAAGAATGAGGATCAAACAAAGGCTTATTGACAAATTGTACGCATTTGCCTATCCTTTCTTGTGATGTATCCTTCACAAATCTGGCTAAAACTATTTGAACAGTAATTGATAAAAGATGATATCTCTTGGCCCAGACTTTGACAGTTTTTAGTTGATCAAATGGGGACTTAGTCACACTTAAGAATTTTCGCCATGACTCTTTAGACTTGTTTCCGTGGGAAGCAGTCAGCCGCCACTCAGTTGCCATCCAGAAGGTGAAAAACATCAACCCTAACCTGTTGTGGAAAATGAATGGCATATTGGCAGCATTCTACTTTTGGTCACAGTTTTCTAGTGCATCCATTATTGTGTAGAAATTCTTTAGTCCTATACAATTGCAACCACAGTTGGTCGAAGGCGGGTACAAATTGTGCTTCATGCATACAAGTACAAACGATAAAGTCATGTTGTGGAAATATAAACACCTTCTAATATTTTAGAGGGCATTTGACAAAGCTTATTATAAAAGAATTAGCAAATTTTGATAAAAAAAACGTTGATAAAACTTGTAGTTTAAAAATTGATAAAAGTTGTGAACCCATAAAATGTAATAATAAAATTGAAGTTGACAAGTTGGTAAATTTTTAAAAAGTTTTATCAAACTAGTACTAATTAAAGAATAATACACATCTGAATTGATGAAAAATCATAGCACGGAACCTTCCGTCATGAAAAACTGTACTGATTTGCCTATCTATTCATTTTTGCAATATTCTAAGAATTCAAATGAGCATGTGTAGCCAAGAATTTTTTTTTTCTTTTATTTAAATAAAAGGAAAAGAAAAGAAAAATAAAGAACTAATTTTAACCATACTCTTCATTTAAAAATAAAAAATAAAAAAATCAGAGTCCCAAACAAATTATTAAAAAATTAAAAACAATAAAAAAAAAATTCCTTCTCTTCCTTCTCTCCCACCACCACGACCACTGTCAACTTTTTCCCCATCCAATCCCACTTTTTTGATCCTCAAGTATGGTCAATATCCACACAGACCTCCGTTTCATTTCAACAAGCTCTAGTTTGTCGCTATAACAATTGCTACATTGACCCTTTTACATCTTTATAATCCGACCCAAACCCGAAGCCACACACTGTGTTCTCTAGATCCACCAGTGATTTCACCCACCGCTCTTACATCTCCCTTGACAAGCGCAACAATCGTATATGGTCTACAAATACCTGGGCCCACACCATGTCCTCCTATAGCTCCCTCTTCAAGACACTCCCAGTTCAAAGCCAAATTTCAAACCATTGTCTGGTTTTTATTGTGTCTACGGGGTCGGGCCAGACTATCACGCTGCTGATTGACAAGGGTGTGAGTAAGGTAATTGGCACAAGACGTCCCTACCTTTTAAGGTTTTTGTGAAAAACGTCCATATCTTTCATTTTTTGACATTTTCACCCATACCTTCCACCTTTCAGTACAAAATGTCATTTTTATCCATTTTGACCATTTTACCCTCCTATTCAAATAAAATAAAAAGAAAAGAAAAGAAAAAATAAAATAAAAAAATAATTGCAACCATATATAGCCCCAATTTTCAAAAAAAATTACAAATCAGTCAAAAATCAATTCTATCCTTTCATATTGAATATATACATGAATTTTTAAACCATAATCTATTTTAAATAATCAACAAAATACATTTGCTCAAATTCATTAAAAGCGCAACATTACCCATCTCACTTCCCAAATCATACAACATCGAAATTTTCATGCAAGCCTCGAGAATTGCATTCATTGAACAACCCATACATCTCAATTTATGAAACCTGAGATAAAGGAAGTTTGCTCAGTGCAAGTGAACGATACGGAGCGGAGCTGTGGAAATAGTTTGTGAAGGTCTTTTGGAGTTTTTTCAAGGCTTGGAGCCTTTAACTCCCAGATATTAGGGAGAAGGCTTTATGGGTACTGAAGGGGTGGTGGAAAATGGTGCATAAGGGCGGTAAATGAAACTATGGAGGTTGATGGATTTTGCTCCAATCGTGAGAAAGGCTAAATTCAAGAGAAGGCATGTTTTGACCCCAATTTCTCATGGAACAGTCATAATGGCCTTGAATCCTTTATGAGACAATTTTTGAGTTGTTAAGAAGGATGAGGATTTTTATTAACAATGCCAATGGCTTGTGAATGGAAATAAAGCTTTTGCACTTAGCGTGATTATAAATTGTTTTTGGAAATACATATTCTTCAATTGGAGTAAATCTCATGATTGAAAATTAGTCAATTTTTTTTTTATTTTCTTTTGGTTCATTCATTCTCATGGTTGTGTCGGGCATACATTGCTTCTTTCATCAGGGGGAGCAACGAGTAAATTCTAACTGATTTGTAATTTTTTTGAAATTTTGAGACTATGGTTGCAATTAATTCTTTATTTTTTCTTTTCTTTGTTTTTGTTTTATTTGAATAGAAGGGTAAAATCATTAAAACGGATGAAAATGATCTTTTGCGCAATGAACGGTGGGAGGTAGAAGGTAGGGGTGAAAATGTAAAAAAATAAAAGATAGGGATGTTTTTCACAAAAACTTTGAAAGGTAGGGACTTTTTTACCAATTACCCGTGTGAGTAATGTAATAAGTTTGGAGTTAGTGGATTCCCCGCCACTAGTGAGTCTAGCGGATTCGCATAATCGACCCTTTTTATGGGAGTTTTGATTTTGGGTTCAGCGAGTACTTGAATCGAGCATTGTTTTCAGGTCAATATGTGGCGAAGATGGAGATGAAAGCGATGAGTGGGAGTGTTTTCATGGTGGCTGTGGAGGTGACGTAGCGGAAGTTATAGGAAAGATGAACAAATCTCACAAAAAAGAAAATTCACGAAAAGTTTTATTTCATTTCCATCAATCTGCGGCCTCAAGAGGTTTACAACATATTTATAGCAAAAATTTAAAAAATTCGAAAATTAAATAATAATAATAAAAAAAAGATTTTTTTCCAAAATTGAAAAAAATCAAGATAATGACGGAAATTGGTAGTCCTAATCTTCCGGATTACTCTCCAACAAACGGAATATAAATCCGAATTTATTTAATTGAGATAGACTCAAAATAAGAATTACCAAAAAAGGAAAAAATGCCTAAACAAGGGATTTTGTTCAAAATTGGCCTTGCATCAGGGCCAAAGGCACTAAATTTTATTCATTGACTCGATTCCAATCGAATTAGACTAGCAATTCGTCAAAAACGAACAAACCTGAAGTTATCATGAAATCAAAAACTCTAAACCTGAAGTTATGCCTTGCGACGATCCCATTTTATCATAAACTCTAATCCCTTATGTATTTCATTATCCTCCCCAAGGTGGGAAAAATTCGCCCTCGAATTTGATGGGAAAGGAGCTTCATCATCATCAGAATTATCATCACGAAATGGCATCAAATGCTTGATATTGAAACATCGGATGTACGAATATAGCTGGGCAGCTTCAAACGGTAAGCATTCGGATTGATCTTTCAATGACCTCCAATGGACCAATCTTCTTCGTAGTAAGCTTGTTGTATTCATGAGCAGGAACATGATCCTTTGTTAACACCACCCAAACAAAGTCACCTACATCAAATTCAACATGTCGGCGTTTAAGATCTGCAACATGCTTATATTCAGTGACAGCAGCCTGTAACTAATCATGAGCCTGTGAGTGAACCTTCTGCAATTGCTGAATAAAGTCCTCGGCCTTACCATGCATTTTAACAGAAGTAGAAACTGGAACCAGATTAAGAGGACCACGAGGAACAAGGCCATACACCACCTGGAATAGACTAAAACATGTACTTCGGTTAACAGCATGATTGTGAGCAAATTCTGCT